ACCTAAGGAAAGTTTTAATAACTATATTTTTATTTAAATCCCCTTAGACTATATATAGAAAAAGCTATTAACTATTAGGGCTAAATAAAAACTAATTAAGATTTTAAAGTTTATAAATAAAAATATTACTTACTTTTAAAATATTTAATTAAGCTTTACTTTTAGAGGTAAGAATTAAAATATTAAAAATAAAATTATTATACTTTAGCTAATAGTAAAAAATAATAATTTAAAAATTAAAAAAGTATATTTATAAAAGGTTTTTCTTATATATAATATATTAAAGATATATATTAATATAAGTAAGACTTACTTTATAAATACGCTAATCCTAGAGGAGGTATATATTAAGGCAGGGGCTAAGAACCTACTTATTTTTTACTATAAAGCTAACTTTAAAAAGTTCTTTAATATATACAGCTACTTTATCTCCTTTAATAAAAACATTAAACCTAGCTTTAAACTCTTTAGCAGCTCCTTCCTAATAGAAATCTAGGTCTAGCCCCCTTAGATTACCTAATACCTATAGTACTTTAAATTCTATAACCTATAGAATTATACTAAGATTAAAAAGTATTATAAATATAGTAAACTATTTTTTAAATATAATAATACTATAGTTAATTACTTATTTTTATTTTAGTATATTAACTATAATAGCCTTTATATAGTAGACTCCTTAAAGTATTTTACTAAATTAGTTATTAAAAATAAGGAAAAAGTATAAATAACTAAAGCTTAACTTTAGGTAATTTAGGAATTAGGTTAGTAAAAATATAATAAAGTTAACTTACTTAAACCTAAACTTACCCCTACCCTAGCCTTTAATATTAAAAAAATATTTAACCTAGGAACTTAAATAGGCCCTTATATATAACTATTAATTTCCAGCTTAGCTTTATCTTTTCTCCCTTAAGCTTTAGCTAAAAAGGTTATTATTAAAGTTAACTTAAATAAAAAAGATCTTTATAAAGGAACCTCCTCCGCTAGGTTAGTAGTTTACGTAGCTAGCTTAAATAATAAAAAGGAAAAAGCTAAAGGTAATAAAAATATACTTAACGCCCCCCCTAAAACTAATAAACCTTTTAATATAAGCTTATAAATAACAGGCTTTATTACAGCTACTAAAGAAATACTAACTTTAAAATCTTCTAAGTTAATATTAAAAAAAGTAGTTTATACTAAGATATTACCTTATTACTAATATAAAAAAGTAGCTATAATATTATATTAATTTAAGAACCTTATACTTAATAAAATAAAATATTAAATAAAAAATAAACTAAAAATTATCCTAAATATTAAGTATATAACCTTTTAAATAAGTAAAGGGATACTAAACCTTTAGTTTTTATATTTATTAAAATCTCTTTAAACTTCTTTAGTAAATAATTCTCTTCCTTAAGCTTAAAAAATAAATATATATATTAAATAAAAGTATATAATTATATTATTATTAACGTTTACTAAAGGGCTTTAGTAAACTTAGCTATAGAAACCTTTACTAAATAAAGTCCTCCCCCCCCCCTACTTAATTATTATAAGTAACTTTAATACCTTATATTAACTTTAGAAATTAAGCAGGGGTATAGACCTAGTAGGTAATAAAATTATAAAATAAGTAAAAAAGTATAATCTCCTTTTAGCTTTAATAAATACACCTACCTAATACTTAGGAAAATATATTAACTTAGTTTTTATAAATTATCCTATATTAACTAAGGTTAAATACTCCTTTAATATAAAGTTAAATTATTATATAATAATTATAAACCTACTTAAGCCTTTTAAAATAACCTTAAGGATAAGGAAAAAATATATTCCGCTAAAATACTAAGAAAACTTTAGCTAACTTATATACTCCTTTACTTAGACCTTTTTTATAATTAACTTAACTATACTATTAAAAACTAACCTTAATAAATACACTAAGGCCCTATAGAACCTTTTTAAATAAGCTATAAAGGGGGCTAGTAAAATTAAAAGCTAAAAAAGCTATAATAAAGTTAGGAAATACTATACCTAGCGTAAATAATATCTCTATTACCCTTCTATAGCTTACCTAATCTACTATTAATAAATATATAATTAATTTTTTCTATAAATACCTAATAATAAAATACTACCTACTTCTTTTCTAAAATATAAAAATTATTATTATCCTTAAACCTAGGAAGCTAAAGAAGGTATATATTATATATAAAAATTATAAACTTATTTTTTTACTTTTTTATATAAGTAAAGGCTTTAAAAGATTTTTAGCTAAAAAAGTCTCCTTCTTAATAATAAAATATAAAATACTATTAAAATAATATTTTAGGGCTTTTTTAAAAAAGTTTATAATAAACTTAATTACCTACCTACTATATAATACTAAAGTTACCTTAGCCTAAGGCCTTATTATCTCTCTCCTTATATTTAATATCTTAGGTATATTTAATATTATTATATATAACTGCCTAATATATAAACTTAAGGAATAAAAATAGCCCTTTTTTTTTATAAAATAGGTTAACTTTTTTATAAGTAATTATAAAGCTTTTATTTAAAATAGCTATAGGATTACCTTTTTAGAAATAAAGCTAGAATATAAAGCCTTATAGGGGTCCCTTATCTCCTTTATTATTTTTATACTTTACTTCTTCCTTAGCTTAAAGCTTAATAACCTTAATACCTGCTTTAGGTATATAAATAATATTAGTATTATAACAGCAGAGGCTAATACTAAGGAAACTACTTAAAAGCTTTAGTAAAAATTAAAAAATACCTTAAACTAAGGTAATAAAAATATAGTTTTCTATAACTTAAATAAAGCTAAACTTATATACTTTTATAAAATTAAATCTTAAGTATATAATAAAGAAGTAAATTTTAAAAGAAAAACTATAGCTTCCTAAAACTTAGTCTATTAGTTAAAAATATACCTAAACTTATAGCTCTTTTTTAAAAAGTATTTTAGGATTATAAAAGGAAAAGCTTTTAAAGTAGCTAACTTCCTAAAATCTTTAAATAAAATATAAAAAAAATCTTTATTAAATACAGTAGCTATAGTAGCTAAAATTTATATTACCTTTATAGCCTTATATAAAATAAAGGTTTTTTAACTTAGTAAAAGTAAATAAAGTATAATAAACCTAAATGAATAAGTAGGAATAGGCTTAATAAAATTAACTATAATCCTAGAACCTTTATTTAAAGCAGTAGTAAAAGTAGTTATCCTTATATAAAAGATAACTAACCTTTTTATTATATATAGAAAATTAGGAATCTCCTTAGTATTAGTATAAGTAATATAAACTAGACTTTATATAATAATTTACTTTATAAAGTTAAATAAAAACTACCTAATTAATAGATATATTAATAAAAAGCTCCTTCCTAAAGTTTCCTTTACTTAACTATAGTATACTATAGCCTTAGTAAGGAAAATAATTTAACTTTCCTTTTTTATAAAAATAATAAAGTAGTTTAAGCAGGCCTAGACTTTAAAGGCTTACTAAAGTTAAAGGCAGCGGAAAAATACCTAAAACTACTTAACAGCCTCCCTAGGTCTACCCTCCTTACTTACTTAAATAGTCTATAAAATAAATAAAGTAATATAAACTAAGAAGCTATTATATATTATAATTTTAAAAAAACTATAGTATATAGTCCCCTTACTAATGCAAAAGTTTATAATACTAAGGTAATAGGTACCTTTAAAGTTATAAAGCTAGCTAAAATATATACTTTTATAAACCTAAATATTTAAAAAATTTTACTTTTCTTAAATAACTTAGCAGTAGTAAATAGTATACTAAAACTAACCTCTGCCTTATCCTAAGGAGCTTATATAAGGTTATACTAAATTACTTAGAAATTACTTTTATAAATAATTATAAAAGTAGCCTAAGTCCTAGGTTATAAAAATATACTAAAAAATAAAAAAGCTAACTAATTAGTAAAAAAAGGTTTAAAACTCTTTTACTATTTAAAAAACTACTTTACTATTACTTTTATTAAAAAATAAGTAAAAAAAAAATATAAGGAAATATAAAATAATAACTAAAATAATAACTACTTAAAGTTTTATAAGGTAAGTAAATAAGGCCTTTATAAAGCCTCTTTTATACCCCTAGAGCTATATTTTTTATACTTAATTCTATATAAACTACTAACTAAAAAATTTAAATATAAAAACTTTATAAAATATTATAAAAGATTTAGATATAATACTAAGCTTATTTATAAATATAAAAAGCTAAGGATATAAAGGTATTTTATAAAGTACTATATAATAGCCCCTTTCCTCCTTAATATATTAAAGAAGAAAGTATACTTTAAAATTACCTATATTTAATACCTCCTTAGTAACGGGGGGTATAAGGACTTTTAAAAACTAGTAAAGGAGATAAGCTTATATAGCCCCCCCCTTATAAAAATAAATACGTAAAATAAATTAATACTTCCCTATTTCCTTTATTACGTTAAAATATAATAAACGCCTAATTTAAACTCAGCAGCTTCTACTATCCTAGTACCTAGATAAGGACTTATATAACTAAATTACTTAGTGGACGTTAATAATAAAATAAATAAATAAATAAATAAACCAGATCCTAACATTGTCGAGCGTATATGGCCTAGAGCGTACATAATACATAAGTTGGTATAATAGTTGTAATCCTCTTGCAATTGTCTATCCAAAACCTAGTATGTACGCCTTTTAAAAACTCACCCGCAGATCTGTGATTAAAACCCCGCTACTTCACTCTAATATAGCTATACTGCTGCTAAATATTCTTTTTATGTAGGACCTGTTTAACAAGCTGGTTCCGTCTTAGATACCTATAGTAATATATTAACGTAATGCGCTCCTCTGCGACTTTAATTAATTTAATAATAGATTATACGTTCTTAATTCTTGCTTAGCCTTGGCTAAAATCGTCCTTTTTAAGCTAATAGTAGACGACGTCTCTATAAGCCTTATGGGAAATAAGCTCGGGTTATAAGCCCTCTCCATTTCTTTTTTATCTTCCAATAGTCAACAGGATTCTAAGCAGTAAGTTACACCATCTATCAGGGCATCACAGCCGAGGCACGTATTATACGTCCATTCTAGGCGTAAGGACATGTTAGTAATATTCGGACGTTTTAGGTTTCAAAATGATGACAGGGTTGGTATATTCTTATACTACTGACAGCAGGTGGCCAGGAGCGTCCCCTCCCCAAAAAAAACCTAAAACTGTGGAAATCTCCACGCAGTGACGCAAGCAGCCAACGACCAGTAACGACCTACCCTATAGCCTGCAGAAGATGCACACGTCATTAGCGAAAGACCCCGTTTCGTCAGCTTGCAGGATCTGGGAGTTTTCTCAATAGATTAGGTGAGTATGATGGCAAATAGAGCAGCACTACTCTTGCGTCCTCACAGAGCTGCTGAATCCTCTCTGAGTGACGAACGGAGGCATCATGTTACGATCTGGTCCGCCGTAACAGCTAGATCACTTATAAATAGCTGGTTCCGTTACAGTAATCGCTACAATTGCGATTATTGGCCTAATCTTTTGCCCCGTTGGCGCTACGGTATAACGGAACGTAACACATCATTAATAATTAAAACGGATCTCGGCTTAGGCTACTTGCCACGGTAAGGCAGAAGCCGCTTAAGAAATTCCTTGAATTTCTCGCTATTACTATAGTCGAGCCTTTAAATATCTCAAAGTATATAATTCTATCTTAGGTGTATACAGGGAGGATCTGGTACCTCTGGCCATGGTATAATCGCTTAATTGGTACTGGAGTAATGCCTTTCTTAGACCACCCCTTATTCTTAATACTAAGACTGTCACGACCCAGCTCTTATGGTCGTAACAAGGGGCCTACAGGGTAGGCACTCCTGGATTAACGTCGGGCCGCGCAGCTAATCAGAAAGCGGTTGACGAGAATTAACGTTAATTCCAATTAACGCAGGAACGAATTAATTAAGATTATAAGCAATTCTACTTAACTCTAGAATACACAACTGGATATATAAGTCTACTTTATATCACTTATTAAAATACTTAGATAGCTAGTTATTATTATAGCGTTTATAATATAATTAAATTAGAATACAGACATTTACTTTTATTTATATTATTAGCTGGTAATAAAATTATCTATTACTGACTTAATTACTCCGCTAATATAAACTATAGAACTACTCTAAGGTTTATCCTTTGGAAATAGCTAACCTATAGTACCTATAGGACCTGGTTTATTATATAATAATAACTCTTATTTAGATAGTTACCTTAAACCTATAGGTAATAAGATATAATAGTTAACTAAATATAGGACGTTAACCTTAATAAAACTTATAAGGACCCTACTGCAGTATAATAAGAAAATACTACCTTAATAAGACTTATAAACTTAGAAAACCTTATGTAATAATAAGCTACTACTATATAAAGACTTATGGGATAATTTTAAATACTATAAGGATAACTACTAGTGGTATAACTAGTAGTAAACCCTATAGTTAACCTAGCCCCTGTAGTATAATAACGGGAACCTAAAGAAATTATTAAACCAGCACTACTAGATAAGTTTAAAGAAGACCCTAAGCAGATCCAGAAGTTTTTTACTAATATATAAAACTACTTTAGCTACTTCCTAACTACTATAGCTAATAACATTATAAAAATTTAAACTATAGGAAGCTATTTAACTAAAACCGCTAAAAACTAATTTAAACTATACCTTAAAGACTATAAGTAAACTAAGACTCCTAAGAAATAATATATACTTAACCTATTTAATAATTATACTATATTTAAAAAATAGCTTAAAAAATTATATAAAAAAGTTAAT